CGGTCCGGAGGGGTGTCTGTATTGTGAGAATAGACTGCAACTTACGACATACGATCATGTGAGCCAAGTTCCACAGCGCGCTGTCTGAGATGTTAGTTTGACATGGCTAACTTGTTGCCGTACAACAAAGATTGAACTTCGTATTTTCCCACGGCTGTGTATTTTTCCCACGTGCGCTACTAAATTTGGAACTTCGACATGCGTGGTTGTAATTACTTTAAAATCGGCCTATTCGGACCGGAAAATTCCGTCGAGATTCGACTTATAAAAATTCGAATTAAACAATTTACACAGTAATACATAGGAAAGAATTGGGACTTTTTCAAAAATTCGACTGACGCGAATTTTCGACTTAAACAGAGTCGACTTTGGCGGACTCGACTGTAGTATTATTATTATTATTATTATTATTACTATTATTATTATTATTGCTAATAGTATAGTATTATTAAACAATAGGCCCTACTTTAAAGAAGCTTGCAAAAGGATAAAAACCAAACTGAGCCATACAGTATCGCATTTCTGTAACTTAAAAGACTTGGCCTGGGATTTATGGATTTTTAAAAATCACGCTTAGACATGTGTTATAATTATAGTAGGCCAGGCCTGTGCAAAACGAGTACCGATACTGATGCATTTTTACGTATTTTAGAAGCATTCATTTTGAGTGGTCCCAGGAAATAATTTGTATTGGCTAAGAAAAAAGCTTTAAAAATTTTACACTGTGTACAAAGGGGGGGGGGGGAACCGCGGCTCCCACGGCTTCCCCCCTTTGTACACAGTGTAAAATTTCTAAATGTAAAATGTCTAATGTATCAAACTTTACTGCCAATCAAGCAGCGTGCCTTTTTAATTTATTTGTCCTTGCTTAAAGCTCTTTTGAATCAACCTTATGGCGTGCATTACCAGACTCTTGTTTTTTCTTGTTTTCCCAGTTAAGTTTGCAGTGAGGGGTCTTTTTTTTTTCCTTTTTTTTTTTAAGCTCTGGCATTTTGTGCTATATAAATCTAACATTTATTATTATTATAAAGGTCTGAAGAGTAACAACTTTGCCTCCATTGTAAATAAGGTAATAAGCATAATCAAGTTTGTTCTTGTAATAAGTCACCGTCTTGGGTATAATAAAACCGTGAAATAAAAAGGGCATTGTAGCAGCACCCAAGTTTTTTTGTCCCCCCACCCATTCACCCTCTCTTCCAAAAGTGGATAAAAACCTCATATCACCTCGGTTTTTTCATTTTTTATCAGGGTTTCCCTTTTTGTGGTATTACGTTAGTACTTGGAACATACTCTGATGAAGTCCTGGTTACGAAAAGCACCACAGCTTAATGTTTTAATGTGATAATACTGTTTACTTTGGGTAACAATATCAAAAGGCAGGTTTTGTTAATACAATATAGAATATAGGATCTTGTTAAAGCAATAGATCAAACAATTCTTCAAAATAAATACTTCTTCAGAATAAATTATAGACTAGGAAAACACTGTACAATGTAGGTGCTATGGTATACAAATATTGAATGCTCATGAGGGGAATGGTGAAATCTATTGCCTGGAGGTTGGAGATCATAGCCGTTTCTTAACCAATCAAATGCCTAGAATCTGTATGCGGTATATAATGGATATTAGTCCAGCTTAATTCCTCAAGTTTTCCCTCTCTGACAAAAAGCAACATGAATCAATAAACCATTATACATTAGCTTTTTATTGATCACGAATAAAGCCATCTGAAAAAAAAAAACTTTTGTTTTCTCTCTGACTTAATCATAAACAAAAAGCAATAATATATACAATTAAAATACAAGAAGTTGCAAATTTCTAACTTGGTTTTTACTCTTTCATCATGTTAATATTATGTTTATCTTGAAAGAGATATTGTGCATCTTACAATCTAAATTAAGACAATCCTATTCAACAAGTACTTTAATAACAATCAAGCATACAGCATAATTTGCATAATAGAACTTAGAAATGGCAAAGCATGCAGACTAGCTTTTTGGGTTTAAGTTGAATGATTTTTGAGGTTTCAAAATTATACCCGACCGTCTTTCAGCAATAGACACAATCAGCAACCGATGTGTGACATAGCATGTGCTTCTTCAGAGTGATTTCCTCTAAGGGACATCAATGATGCTGGAACACCAGCAAACAACTTGGACTTGGGAATACTGTCTAAAACGGTTCACAAGATACTGGCCCCAAATACCGAGACTTCACAATAAGTATATTAGTGGTTAGATTAGATGCGAGAATAGTCAATCTATGTACTATAAATAGGATATGTTAGGATCTCTAGGCTAGGTAAAAAGGTTGGAAGGTTTATGTAAATTCCAAAGCCTAAAGTGCACACACAATGCTAGAATAAGTATAAACACAATTTTAAATCAACTTTCCTTGCCATTTATTTCTCGCGTATCAGTAGGCCGTTTTTATTAATTGTCATATAACACTTACCAGTTCCCAGTTGCCAATTGTGTCTTGTACCTCAACAATGTGAAGTCTCACCACAAAAACTATTTGCTTGACTCATGTTTGGTACAATCACAGCATGTTTGGGTAGGTCACATTATAAACTTTTATTTGGTCTTTGAATGGCTTTCATCTCTGGATAAGTAGATCCAGAGATGCGAGTTTATAACAAATTAAATAATACCCTTCAGATTCTTTTTCTGCCTTATATATCATTTTGGATATCAAATATCAGACGGAGAGAGCTCAATCAACAAGCGCATAGTGTTTTTTGCATGATGCGCTATTCAATTTATTATTATACAACTATTATTATTATTATTAGATAATATACATTTATGTACTGTTTGAGTGTAAGTATATGTATTTGTATATGTTTTTCTGCCTTATATATCATTTTGGATATCAAATATCAGACTGAAAGAGCTCAATCAACAAGCGCATAGTGTATTTTGCATGATGCGCTATTCAATTTATTATTATACAACTATTATTATTATTAGATAATATACATTTATGTACTGTTTGAGTGTAAGTATATGTATTTGTATATGTTTTTCTGCCTTATATATCATTTTGGATATTAAATATCAGACTGAAAGAGCTCAATCAACAAGCGCATAGTGTATTTTGCATGATGCGCTATTCAATTTATTATTATACAACTATTATTATTATTATTATTATTATTATTATTATTAGATAATATACATTTATGTACTGTTTGAGTGTAAGTATATGTATTTGTATATGTTTTTCTGCCTTATATATCATTTTGGATATCAAATATCAGACTGAAAGAACTCAATCAACAAGCGCATAGTGTTTTTGGCATGATGCGCTATTCAATTTATTATTATACAACTATTATTATTATTATTATTATTATTATTATTATTATAATTAGATAATATACATTTATGTACTGTTTGAGTGTAGGTATATGTATTTGTATATGGCGTGTATGTGTATCTACAAGCATGTATAAATTTATATTTTGTATTATAACTTATATTACTATTTCATTTCTGTCTCTACACCTTGGACTAAATATAATTTTATATTATATAATTTACTCTCTTTTTTCCATATGTTATTATAGCCGCCTTTAACATTGTTTGTTTTCAAACAGTAAAACAAAATGCCAAAAAAATAAACCCTCAAAAAACATGGTTTTGAGAAAATCAGCCTCAAAGTTAAACTAACCTGTACAAATAGAACATGGAGAATGCACTGAGAACACTTTTACAGAAAGAAAATTAATTAAAAATGCTATCATAAAATATTTGTATCAAAGTATTCAAAAGTATTTTTGGAAAGTGTTTGACTTTGACCTATTTAGGTGATTATCCAAATATGATGTCAACAAAGATACCGCTTATTTTTTGGTGAGACCTCACATGGTATGTGTCACTCTTTCAAAAACATTAAGTCCAGCCTCCATTATGACAATACATAATACAACACATACATTTCTTATACTTTCTTCCAAGATACCAATTTTAATAAATATGGCATTGAAGATCCTGCAAGAACACTCATTAGAAATGGCTTTTAAATAATATGTTTAAATAACTCATGAATAACTAATATTACAAATAATCCAAAATCTGATCATATTTTCTCTGATGTTTTTAATATTTAGGCTGCGAGTGGATTCTAACTCTGTGTCGCTCACTCTTTGGCCCATCTGAATGATCTTTATGTGTTCGCTTTCTGCTTTGTGGTTCACTGTTGAAAAATTGAAAAGTAAAATATAAATTTGGAATTGTAATGAAATAAAACAGAATGTATGAACTCTTTGAACAAATTAATTTTGAATGAAGACTAATTCTAAATGTGGCAAAGACAAGCCAAACCAGTCACTTGTCGCAAAAATCGATTTTGAGTTATTAATACAGGGTTAAAGTGTAAAATAGGAGCTATAAAATGGTAAAAAAAATCATTCAAATCTGACAATTCCTTATGAAGTTACAAGCATTTAAGTATACAGCTGTTTAAAGAACAATATATGAGAAATCAGCCTTCAAAGTTTATGATTTCAGGCATTTCTCATGCAGAAACTATTACAAAATCATTAAAAAGTGTTGTTTTAACATTGTAATTGGGAAAAATAACAGCACAGCATGATGTATAGATACATAAGCCTTAGTTTAGTGAAATAAAATAGATTTTTAAAAATTTTACATTCTAGCATGTTTTTGCTATTTTCTCTGAAACACAATTTGCGACGAGTGACTGGTTTAGCTTGTCTTTGCCACAAATATGAAAGTAGTAGTACAGAAGTAGAAATAGTGATACTATACTATGATAAAGTAAAGAGACACGAAGAGAAAACTATGAAGAGAAGGTATATTATTGAGAAATCATTTAGAAAAGTGTCACAAAAGAAGAAATCCATTGTAACAAAACAAAGGAAATTAGTTTGAAGTTACTCTTAACTCTTTCGCTACGGCGAGCCTCTCACAGCGGCGCAGATAAAATATGCAGTTTGAGCGGAAAGCCGCCGACAGCGGCTTGTTGACGTCACTGTAAACAAATGAGGATATCCCGGGGATATCCCCATGACGTTTGCATATATTATATTGAACAACAATCTGCATGACCTTTGACCTTATTTTAAGCTGTTGTGGGCGGCTTTCCGTCTGAATAAAGGCTGAAACAGGCTTCAAGCTGGCATTGTTGTTTTGAGTAAAATTTAAATGGCTGCGCTTGAGAGACGTAATTTAACTGCAGAAGAAGTGCTTCGCAGACTTGCACAGTGGGATGTCAATGATGATGATACCCAGAGTGATAGTGATTATTCAGATACTGCCACTGAATCACAAGATGACATGGATATTAGCGATGATGATAGTGTAGGCCTAGCTAGTCATGATAGTGATGGTAATGAAAGTGTGCATAACACTAGCACCAACAATGGTGACAGTGACAACTTTCAGCCTGTACCAAATCGGAGACGGAATGTCAGAGGGCGTGGTCGTAGACGTGGACGTGGTCCTGTCCGTGGCCATGGGCAAGGTGGACCCATTGCCGATAATTGGAATAATGTGACTAATTCACAGAATGATGCTGCGAGCCTTGTATTTCCCTTTCAACCCACTCAACAGAGGAACCCTGGTGTGCAAGCACTTTTGGATGAGAATTCAAGTGAGTTAGACTGTTTGTTTGAATTGCTGTCAGATGACATTCAAGATGACGTGATTCGTATGATAAATGAGTTTGCTGAATACAGGAAACGTATAAATAATCCTCCAAAGCGTAGGTCTGTGTACAACACGTGGAAGCCAATTGACCGCCATGAACTTTTGAAATTCCTGGCCGTACTTATTGCCATGGGTCTCAATAAAAAGCCATCAATAAAGGAATATTGGAGCATGTTCCCACCTTATTATAACCCATGGTATCATAAGATGTTTTCAAGAGATAGGTTTGAAGTAATCTACCACACAATGCTTCATGCATCCGATATTGATGCACTGTCGAAGGACAAAATTGAACCCTTTTTGAACAAACTTCTTGAAAAGTTTCAGGAGGCATTCTACCCATTTCAGAATCTATCGTTGGATGAAATGGTGATTGGGTGGAAAGGACGTTGGAAATACAAGCAGTACAATGCTTCCAAGCCCAGAAAGTATCACATCAAGACATTTGGACTCTGCGACAGTATTACTGGGTATGTGTGCAACCTTCTTGTGTACTTTGGGAGAGACACTTCGTACAATCCTGATCTAGGCAGGGGCACTGGTCAAGCAGAGAAAGTGTTTGAGTATTTACTGAGGCTTTCTCGGTAAAGGTCATCATGTTTTTGCTGACAGATACTACACCACAGAGAAACTGATTAGGTTATCTAATTGAAAAGAAGACTCACTTCACTGGCACACTAGCTCTCAATCGGAAAGGTTTTCCACTGGAACTGAAGACGCTGAAACTGAACCATCGAGAGGCTCGGTGGTACAGGAGTGATGATGATAAAATACTATGTGTGATGTGGAAAGATAAGAAAGGGAAGTCAAAAAAAGACAAGCCAGTTGTTGTTGTGTCAACACAAGCTTCGGTCAAAACCAAACTCATCACAAGAAAACAAGGTGATCCATTCAACATCCCGGAAGTTATACAGGATTATAACATGTCGATGAATGTGATCGCATGGATCAATCTGTATCATACTATGGACAATTCAATCGCAAAACGATCAAGTGGTGGAAACGCATCCTCTTATGGCTCTTGGAAATTTGCCAGGCTAATGCTTACATCTTGTATTGTCTGACATGTGCAGATGACACTCCCAAGTTGAGTTTGAAGATGTTCAAGAACAATCTTTTGATTCAAATTGAGAAGGCAGCTATTGCGAACCTTCCTCCCAATGCTGATATATCCAGACCAAGACCAGGGAGACCCTCAATTCTTGAGATTTCAAGGAAATAGGCACCTTGTGAAGTATGTCAAGGATGACAGAAACTGCGTGGTTTGTAGCAATCCTGTCACTCGCAAAAGGACAAACTTTGTGTTCTGGTTGCACCGGCAACCCACATCTCCATCCAAAGGAATGCTTCTACCAGTATCATACATCAAACTAATTCACATTTCAGTCAAGTAATACTCAGACTCATATACAATAAGTAATTTTCATAATAAAACATTTATTTCAGCATTACTACGATGAACCAGATATCAATTTTTATAGTTTCTATTTTTTCAAACAATTTTTAATTTTTCTACTTTGACGTCATATGACGTCACATATGACGTCATATTGTCTATACCAAAATTATACAATTAGACAGAGGAGGTCTCAAGGATAAAGAATATATACACTTTTGCTATTTTTTCCCCTAATTTCTAATTTTTCAATTTATGACATCATATGACGTCATTATGACGTCACATGTCATATTGTCTATACCAAAATTTATTAGACAGAGAAGGTCTCAAGGATAAAGAATATATATACTTTTGTAAATTTTTGAAAGCCAATTAAAAACTTATAACGCTTTTTCTATATATCTCCTATTTTCCCCAAATTTCCTGAATTTTATTCCGTCCAGATATGAGAAATATTGAATAGGAAATTACGTAGTGAAAGAGTTAATGAGTAGATATAATTTATAATCCACATCTCTGTTAAAAAAGTAAAGCACTCTAAGCCTTCCATCGGCGAGTCGATTGGCCGAGCAGTTAAGACGGGAACTGTGAGATACAGCCATAATATTGGCGCTGTTTGAACGGCACGCTCGCCTATGGTTCTGATGGTGGAATAAATCTTCCCGGATAAGTATTCTAAACTGTAGGTCCAGTGTCCATAATCGGCTCGTGTGCACTTTAAAGAACCAAGTACTGTACATCCTTCAAGAGGAGTAGGGGGGGTCACCTCAGTGTACTGGTCCATTTCAGTCCCTGTCTGGCAAAAGAAGGAGCGTTTACATCGCGGCCCATGTCAGGTATCCTACCTGCGAATCCTTCTACCACACTACGTAAGCAAGATCATACACACTAGCTATGTAGCGACTTGAGAAGAAGAGCTCCTCATAATTGATTGCCTGTGATGCTATCTCCATAATTGGTTGGCTGTGATGCTATGTACAGCAATATGTCATTCATAGGCACTGACCACTTTAAATGTAGTGTGCCTATAACCATGACATTTGTGGCAGCGCTAATTTAACTATACAACAGCAAATGCAAACAATATACTTTATAAGGGGTCATCCATTATTTTCATCATTTTCACAACGTACGCTGGGGGGATGGGGTTGAAGGCATGTGTACACTTTAAAAAAAGTACAAAAATGAGGATTTGGAAATGTTGGTCTACGCTTTTGTGCCTAGCCATTCCCCTAGAAAGCCTAAGTTTACCGTTATAAATTCACTGGTAAATGTTCAGTTTATCAATTGTTTATACACAGCGTCATCTTACATCCCTGATTAACGATGTGTTGATAAGCATTGCGTACATATAAACAATTTAAAAATACAAGGGAAATACACTTCTAGCTCCGTAAATTTGGAATAAGCTGTAAGGCAGTAGCCGACGAAACCACAGCCTGACACTGACAGTTTGGTAGCAGCATTTGGACCATGTGTTTCACTGTGCTGTGCTAAGCCTACGCCTACCTTATTTTCTTCTCCCTTCTTCTACTTCAATAGGGCCTAATTTCTACCTTTTAAAGTCAATGGGCCTACATCACTCACTCACTCTAACATTATTTTAAAACATAATTTATTATTTGTATTCCATGGATACTTATGAAAACACAAATTTTACGTGTTATCTATTTACTAAATACAACACCAGCAATCCACAAAAAAGATTCAAGCCTAAGGTCTGAGGCAGTGTGAAGTTGGCACTCATTCAAAAATACAATGAAAATTATGAAAGTAATGGATGGCCCCTAAACCTTTCAGTGAATGGTGGGTTTCATGCATACCTTTTTCCATCACAGATTGCTGGCGTATGCCTTCGTCTTGAGCTATGAGTGCGATCTTGTACAGCTGTTCTATGGTGTCGGGTCTTTGCCTGCCATTCTTCATCAAATGCTCTTGAATCAGCTGTAACGAGAGAAACCCTTATCATTGGTAATGAGTAAAGTAACTAATAGTGTATTACAGTATCCTTTGAATTATCATTGCTGGTAGAGGTCCCAAGTGGGGAAAGTGAAATTTCTGGGTAATTTGTCATTTATTGAAGTGTAATTTCTGGGCATTTTTTTTGGTTTATTAAATATACATATGACATGTTAATTCAACTTGTGTCATGATATTACCAAAAGCCTTTACAAATATTTAACAGAAACAGTCCGCTTTTTGTAAGTGGCAAAGAATAGGCAAAATAAGTCATTTTTCATTTCATAAGAACAAGAAACCTTAATCATTGGCAATGAGTGAAGCAACTAACAGTGTATTACTATCATCGTTACTAATATATTTACATTCAACACAATTTTGAATGTAGTGACTTTAAACATTATACAGTCACTATTATCATCTTAGCAACACTTAAAACTTACATTCATCTAGATTTACAAATTCTTGCTCTTCCTCAGTGTCATTGGATCTTGCATTGCGAGATTTCTTGATTGTATGTGAACGGTCATCTGCAAAACAGAAAACAATGCATTTCTTGGGATGAGTTAGCCTTTAGTAAAGAAAAAGTGTTGGAAACCATAGTTTTTATCACAACTTATTGACATCGGAGGTTGTCTTCCCAATCACCTCGTAATGTAATAGTTATAAAATAACATGTTACGATCTTGTCATAATTCGGAAGACTGTATGTGTAATGTAGACTTGGTACAGTATGTAAATAAATTATTGAGCATTTTTTTTTGAAAATTATTATAGTATTGTTTTTAAAGTATATAGTGTATTTTTCTCATTTCATTTTATTTATTTTCTCAAAAACAAGCCTTTCAGTCCTCTGTTGGTTAACCCTATCTTTTATCATATCTCTCAATGTTTACACACCGTTTAGTGTATATTAACTGCATATCTCTTATATAAATTATCTAACACACTTTTATACAAGTTTGTATAACCTCAGCAATATACTATATTAAAAATTATTATATTGTATATAACAAGACAATAATGTAAAGCATAAAATACAATTGCAAATACTATCTAAATGCAAACCATATTATTAATTAACGATGCAACCTATGCCTGCAGGAGAAATACCACATCATATGCAATCCGGAATTCTAGTACACTTAACCAATAAAAAATTCACTTTGGCCCTTTGACCGATTTTTATGCACACCCCTGGCCTACAGCCATCTATTCAGCCCAATTTATTGGATATCAATACAAATTTCTCCCATGTACTCACTAATATGATGTCCAACAGCCATTTTCTCCACACCAGAAGCAGAATCCCGAACAGATCTGCGTGTTTCTTTGATCTAAAAAAATGTTACGACAGCAATAATATTTACAAAATACACAAATATATCCACTGTACACCATCGATTCATTCAAAAAGCATACAAAGATGTGGATTTACTGTACTTTGCTGTGGGTAGGTAAACAAGCCTGATGTGAGATTGTAAGTAAAAAAAAAACAACAAAATAAACACAATTTGACAAGGTAACAGAGATAATTATCTAGAGAGTTATTTAGTTGCAACTGAGATCAATATATTTGGGTAACTCTAATTTGGTGTTCGTAAATTTTGAATTCAAAAGCGAAAATGCTTACCCCTCCTGGAGCTTGTCTGGTACTTGATGTTGCTTGATAAATATTTGGAGCTCCGCCACCAGTATTTGAGTAACTAGTAAATGAGGAATGGCTGTAGGTATGGGCATTAGGATTGCTAGCCAATTGCCCCTGTCAAAAATCATCATTTCATCATTAGTCAAAAAATATTAAATGATCATAAGCACAGCAGCAATATATATTCTCTCCAAAGAGCATAAAAGTAAATCATAGCATTTGGAGGACACTGTGAATTAACAAAATTCCAAGCAAACATCAAAGAATGCACCACTCTTAATCATCTTTGCTCCAATCTCTTTTTAACAGACTTTACTGGGAGAGATAATCCATTTCATTCAATTTTAATTAACAATCATAAATTCATAAATATTTAGGCAGAGTAAACTGCTTTTGAAAATGTTTTGCTATATTTGTAATGGCATGTTTAGCATTTTTTATAACACCACTTACTTTGATGAATTGGCAAACCAATGAACCAATGTGTAAAATAATCTTTTTTGTTTTTATTATTATAGTCATAAAAAATATAAAAATAATGTAAACTGTGAATGACGAAGATGATAATGATGAAGTTAATTACCAAAATGAGACCTGAAATATGGAATTTACGTGCATTAGGTATGTCTACGCCGTATTAAGAGCAAAATTGTTTTAATCTGAGATCAGTTAGCAAGTACGCCAAAGGTCCTAAATGATTACCTTTTCAGGCCGATATATATTGCCGGATGAATGGCAAAAACTATATTAATAAAAACTTACAAAATTCTGGTGCATATCTGCCATCATGCGGTTCATTCCGGAGAACATGTCAAACATGCCAAATGGAGCCATTTGCTGCTGGTGATGCAAAATTACTAATAACATTAATAATGGCAAAGGTGAAGGTAGGATAAACCTATAACTTGCAGGGTCATTGTGCTGATTTGCATGGGTGTGGTTTTAATAACAATATTAATTAAGTATTTCATTGTTCGGAATTTTCTGAAGATGACAACTCAATTGATCTTTTCAGAACTATCTATATGGTGTACCACAAGCATTAATATATACCGTCGTAACAATATTAATTAACAATGATTCAATAATAATAATAATAATAAAAGTCAATGAGCTCACTTTCTCATTACCATGGACATTTAAAAATTTTTGCCTTTCTTTAGATATAACTGATAACGTTTTGGTATTAGTATAGTATCTTAAAACAATCTATAGATCCTTAACAATCCTTCCAATTTGTCAGTCCAACAAATCACTATAGTCATCGAAAATAATAATAAATAATAATAATAATAATAAAAATAAAGTTCAGTACACCTGATGCTTCAGTGCAATTGGCAACTATCTGACAAAAGATTTGTTGTGTTTATTTATCTCATAGTAAAATTCTTCCGAAAGTCAGTCTCACAAAAAATATTTGAAGAATATTTCTTACTTGTTGCTGGACGGATCTTGATGGGTTATGAGAGGGTCTAGCGCTTACGGCTGACCGACGACCATCTGTTATGGCCATAAATGGATCATGATGACCAAATCCCATTCCCAAATCACCGAACACACTGGACATATGTTGTCTGTGTCTACGATGGAAATCACTGTGATATGGTGAAGAGAAAAACAAAATAATAGAGATCTTAAAAAGCAATCACAATCCTGATACCGGTCTAAATAAGGATGTGAACTTCCTGAGGGCATTATACAAATGCGCATTTAGATTCTAGACCATTCTGTATATTATACCGGAATCAGACATGTCAAGTCTCACGCTTCTCATGGAAGTCTCAGGAATTCAACTTCAACCTCACGCGAGGCCTACTGTATATATTCCAGAATTTCTTTAAATTATATTTTTCTAATGTATTATTTTATCAAAACAAGCATACAAAATGTACAAACACGACTAAAAGCGCTAGCGATCCCATAGCGACCGTCAATTTTCGACATCGCCTCAGCATAAACTGAAGAACAATACGTGGGATATCAAAGTGGCACTTTGTATCAATGTATTCACTGTAAAGGACGCTTGAATGTATTTTCCTTAAGGTTAGTAACCTTGCGCATAATTTTCAAAAAATGCCCAATCTCAAGCAAATCAATGAGAAGAAATCTCAAGCAAGCCAGGGCCAGACCTTTGACAGGTCTGCGGAATCCTGTTAACACAGAAGAAATCTCAAGCAAGCCAGGGCCAGACCTTTGACAGGTCTGCGGAATCCTGTTAACACTTAAAATAAAATCGATTGTGACAATATAAAAACACGTAACATTCAAATAAATAAAACCTTAAAATACAGACAAAATGAAGGATCTAAACAATTTGTTATGGTTGTGTAAAAACCAATTTAACAAATTAAATCAATACCGTTACAACACGGACACAGTAGGCCTTTATTATAAATAATTCAGAAACACAAACAAAAAAAAAACACTTTAAACAAATACAAAACCCCTTAAGGTAAATGGCATTTAATACGTCACCATCACCCAATGAAGTGCCGAATTGTGTGTGACATCATCTTTCAAGACTGGCATTGGCATTGCAGACCACCCACACTGTGAGAGGTGCAAACAATGCACAGTACCAGTGGCAAGGGGGAAGATTTCCCTGACGAGAGCAAAGTGGGTGTGGTCGCTTAAATTATTCCGAGAATGGTTGGGGGGGGGGCTGAGGGTTTCAAAGGCTTATTTTAGAGTCTATTAATATCTTCAAAATACATATAATTATTTCCGCGACGAATTATGGTTTTTCTCCGCGACTGGGGTGGAGGCAGCTACCGCTCCGGTTGCGCTGCCCCTGTTTCTTACTATTGAAACTGCATTACGATTTTCGGAACCTTGTATAAAACTTTACCATTATCCTAATTTGTAAGGCTGTTGTATTTAATGCATACAGCTTAGTATTCTTATTCTCTAAATTTATCTCATAGTAGAGTCTTTTAAGTTGTTGAATTTTTAACATTGTTTAAACTCACAACTGAATTTTGTGTACTTTGGCATCAGCAAATAAGTTAATAATATGATTAAAGTTAGCAATGTTGTCTGCTTCATCACGCTAAATACTAAGTAGTGCCAAAGCAGATAATCTTGATTGTCCCATCGTGGATCATGTAGAGCTTTAGTCATGTAGTCATTACAGAATAGGATAAAAAAAAAAAAAAAATAGAAAATGGTCGAAATGGCCTGAAAAGAAATCACAATCTATAAATTTGCCAATAAAAACAACTACATTCAGATTTTTATTAACTGAAAATATTCATGCCTGACGACATACATCAATTTTGTTGTGTTTTTCTAAAAAGTGCTTATTTTTTTACACTCATTCTCCCATTTCAGCACCCCTGGGCACGTGTCCCCCCTTGACTCCACTAGCTACGCCATTGTACAGTACTGAATTAGCAAAGAGTACAGTATTTTCTCTTATAATACTGTCATCGTCATCGATAAAAATAGTCGTAAGGGTTCCACTCAGCAATAAGAGTCATGTCATATAGGCTATCTATAGCCGTATTAAGCAATGCCGAATCCTCAGGGCCAAACTTTTGACATAGGCCCAGGCCTTGCTTAGCCTTCGCTTAATAAGAGAGTTGACATACTAATCAGTCTTTGGTCTAATCTATTTACATGACAAAACTTGCACTAAAAAACTGAATATACTGTAAACTACTTTATAATAAGAGGATTCATATAGACCTATTAGAACTTTAACTGTAGTACTGTACTGTTTTAAATGGGCCGGCATCAAACGTTTATTCAGAAAAATTTGACACTAATAATCGGGTGATTGTGGAAACATACAGTAATCTCTCAATCAATGAATTCTGACCGATGTTTATGATTGAGGGAATAACAGCAACAAAGTCTACGTAAAGTTGGGTAAATGTACTGTACGGTTGCATGTGTATTCAAAGTGTATGAATAATTTGGTCGGACTGTAAAGCGTTAATTTTGAATATGTTCAGTATCACAACCTTGGCTTCTTCAACTAAAACTGAATGAGGAATGAGATTTTGGGGTCTTGAGAATTTCAGACTTGGTATGGAGGAATTTAGTTTTTGACTATATATATGCCACCCAGATCAATTTATCACTACAGCAGGTTCGCCACCAAGTGAAGGATCTCAGCAAGGCCTAGGCCATGCTTAGATTCTTGGCCAAGCTAAGAATTTAAGCAAGGCCTATGCCAAGAGTTTGGTACAGGATTCGGTCCTTGTTTGATATGCCTATATACAGATACTGTAAATGACATGACTCTTACTGAGATCTGAAAATATTATATGGTTATGTATTAAATTCTCTTGTTCTAAAAGCATGATTATGGCATGTATTTTAAAGAAAACCTGAAACCTCACCATATGCCATAAATGATTTTTTAGAAGAACTAAGCTACTGTATTATAAATCAAAATATAATTGTCCAATATTTATAACAGGAGATTTTAATGGTAGAACTGGAACTGGAAATGATTTCATAGATATTGATGACTATCCTATGGGTTGGGATTATGAATTGTGCTGTATAATATTGACAATCAAATTGTACCTAAATATAATGTAGATGGCACTGTCAACAAATATGGTCTTGAACTTTGGAATTTTACAAAGAAACAGCGATGTGTATTGCTAATGGCAGAATTAACAAACAGCTGTCTAATAAGCATACTGTACATTTATAGGGCAACAGGGTCAAAGCGTTTGCGATTATCTACTTTTCCAACATAATAATTTTAAACATATATCTTATATAATATCATTGTGTTGAGTCCGATCATATGCCAATACATTGTGTTATTAATCTTGAATTTTCTGAAAATAACGCTAATACACATAACAATGAAAATGTATACTGAATACAAAACAACTACCTTTGGTCAAATGAATACTTGATTGAATTTAATGCACATTGGAGTCATGAAACAATTGAAGATTATGATGAAGACTTTATGAATGCTACAGTACAAGTACAAATAAAGTCAATAATGCTTTATCATTTTTATGTAAAATGTTTGAATATGTCTGTAATGGTATTTGCAAGTCAAACTATAAACCCCCAAAAGACAAAAAACCATGTGAATACCAAAAATTGGTGGTTTGATAAGGAAGGTTATACAGTAATATGAAAATTAGTTAAAAAATGTTTAAACAAATTTAAATATCTTCACACACAACATTTGTTAGATGTGTATACAGTGCACCCTCCAATTCGAGACCCCTCTAATTCGAGACCACTTTTCCAAAGACCAAAATAACCATCTTCAACATTTTAACACAAAGCTGGCCCTCTAATTGGAGACCAACCCTGAGACCACCCCAAATTTTCAGGTCCCAAAGGTGGTCTCGAATTGAAGGGCGAACTGTATCCAGATAAAGAAAACATATAAACATTTTATCAGGACAAATAAATATTTAACAAAAACTTAATGAAATCACACATGCTTTAGGAAATGAAAGATAGCAAATTGTTCTGGTCTAAATTCAAAGAACCTAAACAAGCAGTATTCCCTGATATGGTTTGGCACGACCATTTTAAAAATGTATTTGAAACTGCAAAAGGAAGATGACACCGCCCTTGATTTAATTTACCCTCCTTTGCATAATAATCTTGACATATTGAATTCTGATATTGATCTAGAAGAAATAAAATATGCATTTAAAATCCAGAAAACAGGCAAGGCCTTTGTGATTGATTGCATGATTTTTTAATTTTTTGTGAATATCAAACCAAATTTTTATATAACATAAAATTACTTTTTGATGCCGCATTCCAATTGAGCATTTAAAGGGAAAACTTAGTTTGCTACCAGTTTTGATGTGGGCAGATAGGTTATGGTATAAAGAAAAGATTATTTCATACATCCTACACTGACTCCTTTTTGTTTTAATTATGTAAGAGAAAAGTTGTGATTAGCAGATCAATGCATGTTTAGATCAATGAAACAAACAAAAATTCTTCCTCGTTTTTTTAGGTTAAATATCTTGAAATGATGGTGTTCAGAATATAAATACTATTTACTGTTCTGTAACCCTTACTAAAACCAGCTTGTTCCTCATGAATTATATTGTTTTCTTTAATAAAATTAAGTGAGTCTTGTATTTTAACAATCCTAACTTACATAATTTGGTTATGTTTGGTATGATCAACATGTTTATGATAAATATAATTTTCTTAATGATCTTAAGTTGAGAGTTCCTGACATAGAAAAACAAAAATATTATGAAATAATGAAATCACAATCTATGTTGAAATATTATCGCTTATTCAAGCATAACATCACTTTAGACCATCATCTCTAGTATTTATAATTTCAAATATAAAATAATTTTAACTAAATTACATCTTGGCATTTTAGAACTTTATTAGAAACCGGGCGATGGAACAAGATTCCTCAACAAGATCACATATGCACACTATGTAACAAAACTTTAGTGGAGGATGAGTTCCATTTTCCTTTTATCCATCCATTATATTCCAATCTAAGAAAGAAGTTTATTCCACAATATATTTTCAATTATCCGTCGATTAATAAATTATGCTTACTCGGTTTTACATATTAAGTTAAAAAACCAAATATTATAATATGTATACTTTGTGTTCAAAGAAAACCAGCACTAATTATAATTATT